AAACAAATTAAAAATTTACTACCTCTGGATGTTTTATTGCTTACCCATAGAAATTATTTTCTCTTTCCTTTTCTCCCACACAGAGTTCATAAAACACTGATTTCTTTGTAAAACTACCATAATACATCCCATTTCTATTTTTTAGGTTTGTACTTCTGACTTCATAGGAAGGTATTTAGGTTCATTATTCAATAGATCAGAATCCTGGATTGCTTATATGTGACCTTGTTCATGCTGCTTAATCTCATTTATTTTCATTTCTATGAGGACGATTATGCCTTTCCTCATAGGATTGTTAAAGAATGGTTTAAGTAATAAAGGCCAATTGTTTCTACTTTCTCTTACATTTTTTAGTTTGGTAAATATTGAACCACTCATTTTTAAGTGGGGGATAAATATTTCTCTAATTTTAGAATGATAGTTTTGTAAGCACTTAGCCTTATTCACATTAAAGTATTAAAAATTATAATAAAGGTTACAAAGACCAGCTGAAAATATACGACCACTTTACAAAATCTACAATAAATTTTTTTACAGCTGCTGGCAAAGAAATCAGAGAGCCAGACTGTACTCTTTTGTAATTAAATGATATATAGAAAGGAGCATTGTTTTTTAACTGAAAGATGGAACTGTAAGCTTCACATAACAGAGCCTGATTGTTAGAATTACACATATTAATTGTTAATTCCTTTAAAAGCAGACTATTTTTTTTCTTCCCACTGAGCCCATCTCTGTTATTTACACATTACATAATGGTTGTTCGTTATGCCAGACTCAACTGAAGCCCTTACAATTCATTTAGGAGATTAGTCTAAAAAATTCTTTAGTGTTCTCCCATTTTAATGTATCCTAATTCTCACACAGATTATTTAGAGGCTCAGTAGACTTATACCTTGGTATCTACTTCTGGTAGTGTAGTCAGTAAGTGTTCACATCATTGATTTTCAAACCTGTGGTTTATTTTTCTCTATATGGTTCTCTTTTAGATTACCTTTTCTGTGTTACTAGCCACTGGTCTACAAGGTTCATAGTAGTGACCCAGGTCAATTGGGTATATAATAGTGAAAAAGCAAACAGTTCTTTGATAAGACCATGGTATGGTGAGAAGATGTTTGAGTTGTTTTTCACAGATCTACAGTTAATATCTAAGAGAGTATATAATCCACAGCAGTTTGACATTTGCTGGAAACAAGACGTTAAGCTAGCTGTTTCATGGTACTTCAGACATACGTGATCAGATGGCTACTTTTTTTTTTTTTTTTTTTTT